AATTTTTGTTAGATTTGAGTTTAATCGTTTTCATGCATCTTTGAATTGCAAATGCATGCATTTTGCAGTTTTAAAAAGCTTGAGCGAAACGTGTTGCGAACTTGCAAACAGAGGGTAAAGCTCTACGAAATTTCGGCCGGTTATCGAAATTAGAGTCGGTTATCGCGGATTGTTTTTGTATCGGACTGTTTTTCTGCCATTTCATGATTTTTTGGACTGTTTTGTATATGATTGCACGTGGTATTTTCTCGTTTAAAAGCTTTATTCGACTTTAAGTGTTTCGGCTTTTGTTTCATCGGCTTACTTGTTTTGTGTCACTTCAAAAGCAAAAAATGATAGACTTTTTTCTAATGAATTCAGGTAGTATGTTTCAAGTTTTAAAATTTAATTGCTTGAAATATTTTTTATACAAGAACATCATTTTTTTTCTATTGGGTCAATGTGCATCTACTCACTTGTTTGTGGCTTAGTGGCCGCTTAGTAAATAATAAAAGCTGAATTTCTAAAAAAAAATTCTCAAGAAGTTTTTTTTTCGATTTTTTTCCGTCGCATTTTCTGTTTCGCTAACTTTGAAATCTGCACTTGCGTTATATCGCAAGTGACGCGAAGCTGAACATTATATCATTCACGACGTCCTCTAAAAGTTGGTCCTCTGGACTTGAAAGTTTGTTCCAAAATATTGAAAACGATATACGTGACTGCTATTTAAGTAAATCACAATCGGTAAATCACATTGATATTGAAAACTTGGCTCGTTCTGTTCTGAAGTTGGAGCTTGTCCGAACGTCTTTGAGTAAATCTCTGAATCTTAATTGGGTAGCGGCATGTTCCAAATCCGAAGCCTGCTTCATTATGTACAATGCTAGTCGAATGAAAAATATTTTAATTGAGTTTACACGCCGAGCTGAAACAGGAGACTATGGCGAAATGGCATTGGCGCACACGTTAACGTTTGAAGGTATAAACTTGGAGCCGGAATGGAACCTAGTTAAAATTCTGATAGAGTTCTCGCCACTTCTAAAGCAGATTTACCAATACTTGACTTCAAATGATAATACAGACAATTCAGTTTTTCCAATGCATACCCTTTATATCTATTTATCCAGCTTAGCCAGATCATTCAGTAGTTATTACAATAAAAACAAAATTTTGATCGAACCGAAAAATCAGAAAGTAATTAATCTAATTAATATGAGATTTTATGTACAGTGTGTTTATAAAGTGTTCATTGTATGTCTGCGTTTATTAGACTGTGAACCTCTAGACAGAATGTAACTAATGTTTTTCACAATTAATGTCGAATTAAAAATTCTAGGGCAAATTTTCTACTTTGAACAGTTTGGTTTCACGCGTACTTGTTTGTTCTCAAAACTGTTGACATTTTAAACCTTAGATTTTTGATGAAAACTGTATGAAGAATTATCCTAAACGCGGAGTTTGTGCCGTTGTATTGTAGTAAGAATCCACTTTAACCAAAATCAAACAATATTGTCTTTGTTTTGTGTTCAGCTTTGTTTCCAGCATATTTTACCCTTGTGATAAGCAAGGGTATTCCAATCGGGTACGTGACGTTTTTCCCCGCAAATAACTTTGTTCACAGGACTCATCTCCTGGATCCTCGACTCATTCACCTACTTAGCTTTTTATCAATTCAATCAACCATCCGGTGCATCTGGCCTAGAGGTGACACACCTGCTTAAGGTTGCGAATGCTTGTGGCTAGAATCAGACCGACCCTTGTTGTTTTTTGCAAACTAGAATTTTGGTGCTTTTCGGACTATTGGCCGTCTGTTTATTTTTGTCGGCTTCATTCCCGTAGCCCAATTTTTTTTTGACAGGTTCAGTTTGATTTCAAGTTGCTGTTGCACCCATCATTGAGCGGACAAAGCCAGGGATTCCTAGCACTCCAAAAGCTCCTGGTATAGTTTCAAAGCGTTTAGGTTATTTTTTTCTGCGTATTTTGAGTTTTTTGCTATTTTTTTTTGACAAAAACGGTATTTCGAAGGTTTTTTTTTCAATTTTTGTTAGATTTGAGTTTAATCGTGTTCATGCATCTTTGTTTCGCAAATGCATTCATTTTGCAGTTTTAAACAGCTTGAGCGAAACGTGTTGCGATCTTGCAAACAGAGGGTAAAACTCTACGAAATTTCGGCCGGTTATCGAAATTAGAGCCGGTTATCGCGGATTGTTTTTGTATCGGACTGTTTTTCTGCCTTTTCATGACAAAGTAATTGACAAAATCAGAAAGTAATTAATCTAATTAATATGAGATTTTATGTCGTACAGTGTGTTTATAAAGTGTTCATTGTATGTCTGCGTTTATTAGACTGAACCTCTAGACAGAATGTAACTAATGTTTTTCACAATTTATGTCGAATTAAAAATTGTAGGGCAAATTTTCTACTTTGAACAGTTTGTTTTCACGCGTACTTGTTTGTTCTCAAAACTTTTGACAATTTAAACCTTAGATTTTTGATGAAAACTGTATGAAGAATTATCCTAAACGCGGAGTTTGTGCCGTTATATTGTAGTAAGAATCCACTTTAACCTAAATCAAACAATATTGTCTTTATTTTGTGTTCAGCTTTGTTTCCAGCATATTTTTACCCTTGTGATAAGCAAGGGTATTCCAATCGGGTACGTGACGTTTTCCCCCGCAAATAACTTTGTTCACAGGACTCATCTCCTGGATCCTGGACTCATTCACCTACTTACTTTTTATCAATTCAATCAACCATCCGCTGCATCTGGCCTAGAGGTGACACACCTGCTTAAGGTTGCGAATGCTTGTGGCTAAAATCAGACCGACCCCTGTTTTTTTTGCAAACTAGAATTTTGGTGCTTTTCGGACTATTGGCCGTCTGTTTATTTTTGTCGGCTTCATTCCCGTAGCCCAATTTTTTTTTGACAGGTTCAGTTTGATTTCAAGTTGCTGTCGCAGCCATCATTGAGCGGACAAAGCCAGGGATTCCTAGCACTCCAAAAGCTCCTGGTATAGTTTCAAAGCGTTTACGTTATTTTTTTCTGCGTATTTTGAGTTTTTTGCTTTTTTTTTTGACAAAAACGGTATTTCGAAGGTTTTTTTTCTTCAATTTTTGTTAGATTTGATTTTAATCGTGTTCATGCATCTTTGTTTCGCAAATGCATGCATTTTGCAGTTTTAAACAGCTTGAGCGAAACGTGTTGCGAACTTGCAAACAGAGGGTAAAACTCTACGAATTTTCGGCCGGTTATCGAAATTAGAGCCGGTTATCGCGGATTGTTTTTGTATCGGACTGTTTTTCTGCCATTTCATGATTTTTTGGACTGTTTTGTACATGATTGCACGTGGAATTTTCTTGTTTAAAAGCTTTATTCGACTTAAAGTGTTTCGGCTTTTGTTTCATCGGCTTACTTGTTTTGTGTCACTTCAAAAGCAAAAAATGATTGACTTTTTTCTAATGAATTCAGGTAGTATGTTTCAAGTTTTAAAATTTAATTGCTTAAAATATTTTTCATACAAAAACATCGTTTTTTTGTCTCGGGTCAATGTGCATCTACTCACTTGTTTGTGGCTTAGTGGCCGCTTAGTAAATAATAAAAGCTGAATTTCTAAAAAAAAAATTCTCAAGAAGTTTTTTTTTCGATTTTTTTCCGTCGCATTTTCTGTTTCGCTAACTTTTAAATCTGCTTTTGCGTTATATCGCAAGTGACGCGAAGCTCCGCTTCGCCTCTGTATTACGGTTGATATTAGCAAGAGTTATCAAATCGGAACACAGAACTTTTTATGTTAACAACTTGTCAGTTGAATGCTTTGACGTTCTCGTTAAAAAAAGAGTTCAACTTTCATAGCTTCTCTCTTTTCTCTCTGCACACTTCACTTCTCTCAGCACATTTCGTCTCGTTATGGCAAAGATCCTAGGTTCGAATCTTGCCAGGACCAGTTCCTTTTTCAAATGAGATATCAAAAAATGTAGCATTTCAGGACAGTTTTTCATGACAACAGTTTTGGTTTTGGCTTGACGGGAATTCACCCAACTTTTGGCGGCTTAGTTGCCCCTCGAAAAGTGTTTCTCAAGACAAAGACTGAGCTAAAGCCGAAGATTGGTTCTGGACGTGTTTTCTACAATAGAACATCATTCCAGACAATTTTCAAGTTTTGTACTTGTTTGGTTTTGAGTGCTTGCAATGCTATCTTTGTGTGGTATCGCAAGTGGTAAGAAGCTCCGCTTAGCTTCTGTGTGGCTCATTGATCTTAAATGTAAAAAAAGGTTATAAGTTAGTGATTCATTCAGGACATATTTATATCGTGTTTCTTGCATTTTTCTTTATTGTTCATTCAATGTCAATGAATTTAGTGATGCACTCATTTCGATCGTTTTGTTTTTTTTTCTGGAGAAAGTCTTAAACATTGTTCACGCTCAAGTTTTTATTTTTTTTTTGTAGTTTGACTTCTAATTTTTATTTCGAAGTTGCATGCAAACTAATTTGGCCAAATGGGGGGCAAATTATGCTCTCCAAGAATCAAAGTGCAAATGGCGCGAAAAAGGAGTTTAGTTTTGAGATTTCCCAGTGGAATTAAAATGTATCTATATTTTTCCCAAGTTTTAGTTAATCAGAAAAGTCTCAATCATAAATGAAGCTGAAAAAGTTTTAAGGTGATATCTATTTTTTGCTCATTGAGCTCATTGACAGTTTTTCAACTGTCTGTTGACTATGTTTTCGAAGCTATTTTTTTTTCTGGCGTTGGCGAAGCTCGGCGTCGGCTCTTTGTTTGAAATCGAATTCGCACAAACTGTCCATGTTTTGTTTATTAACGCACATTCATTGCTCCCTGATTGTTAGAGGATGTATTAATAACTTAAGGCTGAAAGGTGCAGCTCTTTTTTCCGTTTTTTTGCCCGTGTTTGTGAACTGCAGTTTCGCTTCAGTATGAAATTCTGCGCCTATGGTAAATGTAATCTACTCGGTATCGTCAACAAGGACACCAACACAGCCTAGATGACGTAGTTCTGTAGTTGTGATGATGCACTTTTCAGACTAATGAACTGAACATGGATCCAAACGACCCGCGAGCAGCTTCATCAGCCACGCGGATTATTAAAGTGCCTCGAATGCCTAAAAGCATGCAACAGATGATCCCGCCTTCCGTAGCAGCTAAAACGTTGAACACTACGAACATTAATTCACAGACTCATTTCGGGAATACTTCGCCTCAAGTTATACGTATTGTACCAAATCAATTAATGAGCAGCCATAATGTTCAGCAGATATCAGGGAAAAGTTTGCAGTCACTAATAAATCAATCAAATGAATCGTTAAGGTCAGCGCAAGTTACAGACTCAAATATACGCGAGACAATTTTTACAGAGAGTATAGCTGGTTCATCAAATTCCAGTTTAAGTCAGTCGATTTTTATCCAAAATTTACCGCAGAAAACACTCACAAGTCATAAAAATGACTCTTCTATTCCGTCTTATAACGTGCCTTCTTTACAATCGAAGGTTGTGCATGCAAATCTGACATCATCACCCGTTGTGCAACCCAGTACAACTAAATTGCAGTACACTTCAGCGTCGAAGCAGTTATGGGAAAGTATGGGAGGAAAAAAGAAAACCTGCAATTGTACCAAGTCGCTCTGTCTTAAGCTCTACTGTGAGTGTTTTGCAAACGGCGAGTTTTGTTTTTCATGCAACTGCTCAAATTGTTTCAACACGCTGGAAAACGATTTCGAAAGAACTGAAGCAATTCGAGCGATTTTAAGTCGCAATCCGAATGCGTTTCATCCGAAAGTCGGTAAAGTGACGTTTAGCGAAGAGAAATCGCATTACAAGGGTTGCAACTGCAAAAAAACTAATTGTGTCAAAAATTATTGTGAATGTTTTGAAGCTAAAATTTTGTGTACAAACTTATGTAAATGTACTGATTGTTTTAATTGTCAAGAACGTGTGGGTATGCGATCTGTCGGAGATGTTACCGCTTTGAGACTTCTCAAAGAAGGAACTTTGAGAGATTTGAACTACTATCGAAATGAGTTCATTGATAAACTTCCTTTTACTTTGATGACCGAAGAAATTATCGAATCAGTTGTGCAATGTTTACTTTCTCAAGCCGAAGAAGCGATGATGACTGAACGTTCAATCGAGGATACAGAACGAATGATTCTACAAGAGTTTGAGCATTGTACCACACAAATAATTGAAAAATCGGCGTCCTTTAAAAGTGCTGTCCCTGAGTTGAATTCAAACTCATGATAACTATTGGTTAAAATGTTTGTAGTTTACCAATTTTTGTGCCAAGGCGTTATTGCGATTTTATGCTTTGACAAAGTGATTATTGACACCATAAAATCTTTAACTCAAGGATAACTTTTTGACGAGCACACAAAATCACAGCTTTTTGAACTATTATTGGCTCAAAAGGAAGAAGCTTTACTCTAGCTGCTAATGAGATATTTACCGAATAAGTGAACAATATTAGACCATATAATCTTCACTTCACAAAATCTTCTCAACATCCTGAGTTCAGTCGTGATTTGAACCGAATGAAAAAATTCAATATCGAAGAAAACTGGCGAATAATATTTGTCTATGCCGTAAATGGCTAGAACTTTACTTGCATCTATGGCGTTTCGAAATGAGAAGTTAAATTTTTGCTTCACTTTTTTCTGAAATTTTTTCAAATAGTTTTAATTGACGGGTGGCAGTTTGCGTTCACATTTAAAGTTTTTTTTTATTTTCAATTGGTAGCATTTACTAAACTGACATTTGTAGTTAAATTCAAATCTGGACATCGAAAATTCATTCAAATTTCAGATCTGTATCAGTTCTGTGGCATGTCTCTTTTTTCGCGTAACATTTACAGATATGATAATTATGGAAAAAGTCAGGTATGATCATGTCTGCTTCAGGTCTGGCCCAGGTATGATGAGGCCTGACTTCAGATCTGATTTTACTTGATCATACCTGGACCAGACATGATTATTCCTAATTTTACTTGATCATACCTGGACCAGACTTGACCATACCTGACTTTACATGATCATACCTGGACCAGACATGATCATACCTGACTTTACATGATCATACCTAGATCAAAAATGCTTTTTAAAAACTCCGTAGCCAAAAACTCAAATTATCAACTGATCAATTATAGACGCAATTACTGAAGCAAGAACAATAAAAAAACAGTGATGGGATGTTCATGAGATATTTGCAAATAAATTTGGAGAACATAAGAGACAACCTCAGAAAATTTCATATGTTATATAGAAATTTGAACAATCACCAAAAAGAAAAGCGAATCTTTAGAAAAAAGAGATGGTACAATTTTCTTGCATCAGAGAATTGTGCTGCTTTGTTTTTACCTGGAATTTTTCGTCATAGGTTTTTTTAATTCCCGAATTATATCAAATTTCTGGCAGAGAATGTATTAGATTTAGTCGCAATATTGGTTGCCGTATTTCACTCCTTCATCGAATTCATTTAGTCTTCATGTGTTTTTGATCCAGTCGTGGTACGCCCCCACTCTCTGCCCCACCCACTCTTGGGTCACAACTCCATAGAGACACTCTGCATGTGGCATCAACCCCTCCGGATCTTGTTTCGTCGATTTGGTCCTTTTTGCAGAGAAGATTGGATTTCCTGGAAAAGTAACAATCATTATAATATCGTTCACAAGGCTGAGCAGTAACATATTTTAATCAAAAAAAATTAAGTTGCGGCGGTCGAAAAATAAGTCGCGGTGGTCGAAAAATTAGTCGCGGCGGTCGAAAAATTAGTGGCAGCCGTCGAAAAATTGGTCGCGGCATGGTCGAAAAAATAGTCGCGGCCGTCGAAAAATTGGTCGCGGCATGGTCGAAAAAATAGTCGCGGCGGTCAAAAAATTGGCCGAGACGTGGTCGAAAAAATAGTCGCGGCATGGTCGAAAAATTAGTCGCACCAGTCGAAAAAATAGTCGCGGCATGGTCGAAATATTAGTCAAGGTGGTCAAAAAAATTGTCTCGGCATGGTTGAAAAATGAACTCAATCTATCCCAGGTTGCGTGATGTACAACAAACAAAGTACAAGGGCTCTATTAACAGCTAACACCACTTCAAAAGAAAGAATATTTAAATGGTCATTTCATCGACAAACAAGACACTTGACAAAACTTGGTCATCATTCTTTACAGATTGTACCATCCTTCGTGCCACCTTAAAATTGATGTTTATGAGAGAGAAGGAGGATTTGGAAAAATAGCTTGATGTGACAACTTCAAATTGATATGAAGACTTCGACTAGTCAATAATCAGCATTTTTTAATCAGAAACTGAATGAATACAAAACTGCTAGCTGAAATTATTGTAGTTGAATTTGACGCTGTGTTAGAGATGGCCAATTTTGTAAGTTTGCGAGTAGAAAGTTTGACAAGCGGTGACAAAATTGCGTTTGAAAATAGCACTACTTCATTAGGGATATAATGTGTTATTTTTTTTCAGAATAGAATACGAGATGTAAATACGTCTGTAAGTACGTCTTTACAGAAATACGTCACGTCTAGTCATGTCTGACTCAGGTATAGTCATGTCTGACTCATGTATAGTCATGTCTGACCAGGTATAGTCATGTCTGACCAGGTATAGTCATGTCTGACCAGGTATAGTCATGTCTGACCAGGTATAGTCATGTCTAACCAGGTATAGTCATGCCTGACCAGGTATAGTCATGTCTGACCAGGTATAGTCATGTCTGATTAGGTATAGTCATATCTGACCAGGTATAGTCATATCTGACCAGGTATAGTCATGCCTGACCAGGTATAGTCATGTCTGACCATGTATAGTCATGTCTGACCAGGTATAGTCATGTCTGACCAGGTATAGTCATGTCTGACCAGGTATAGTCATGTCTGACCAGGTATAGTCATGTCTGACCAGATATTGTCTGCAAACGGCAGATGCGATCAAATGTGAAACATCTGCAGAGAGCTGAAAATTATCTAGTGTCTGACAATTCTATGATCAGACATGAAATTGTGAGAAAAGTTCGGTACGCGTGCTAATACTAATGATTATAAGATGATTTAATTTTTGAGTTTAACAATTTGTTAGTTCTTTTTCTATATTTGAATGTTATCACTCGATGATTATCTAGCATTCAATTGTCCATATTCTTGTCATTTTTTCTTTTTCTTAAGAGAAATTTTTATTTGCTTCGATTCTGTGTATTGTTTTTTTTCTGTACATGTATAGTGAAGTTATAATTTTGTCTAAAGTTTATAAATACAACCTGCACCGCACTTGTACCTGTTTTTATGCCGATGCTACACACATTGTTTGCTAAACTAATTTCGTTATATATGTGGAACAGTTTTTTTGTGGTATTGCTGTCTTTTTTTTCATTTTTTATTGTCCATGATTTTGTAACTCCGATTTGAGTAATCGAAGTCTTTTACTTCTACTATTACCGGCAACTGAGAACTTGATTTGAAAAGAAGCAGCAGGTTTAATTGGTTTCCATCGAAACTTTCGTTGAATTGAGAACTTGTGGATAACATTGCATTTTTTGAAAAGGTTAGGTATGGATTGTTGCGAAGTTGCTGTATATATTTTCATACCAGGTACTCGATTCTAATCTATCGCGTTAATTTAGATTTTTTTCCCGAAATACGCATGAAAAGTTCACACACCAAACTTTACAACACCGTATTGTAGAAGATTTAACCAAATAAGTGTTTAAAGAGCGAAAATATGGTCTATTTTATAAGACGTGATATTGTTTTTTTTCTTTTCATTTTTTTCTTGTAAAAGTCTTAAACTTTGTTCACGCTCAAATTTGATCACGTGCCACTGTTGAATTGAAAAAGTCTAAAAGTCGCGAAACAAAGGAATGGCTTCTAGCATCAAAAATTGCTTTAGCTTTCTGAATTCCTAGGGGAATAAAAAAGTGCCTGTTGATTTAGGGCCAACCTCAAACAATTTATGAAATTTGAAGAGCTTTAGTGTGATTTATTTTTTTCTTTGAAATTCGAAAGTTAAAAAATTTTCGATCAACTTTTTCCAATTTTGTTCTTCTAATACTTCTCTAATTATCTGCTGGCTATGTTTTTTCGCGTGTGATTTGCAAGCGCTGTCAAACCGGAACTAGATAAGCCGTAGGCTTTTTAGACAATCCTTGTTGATGATTGTAAATATACATATTGTATTGTAATAATCATCAACTGAATTAAATATTATTATTATTAACGTAACAATTTAATTTTTTTGAAGCAAAACGTGTCTAACCGAATCACTGAATCAGTATTCCAATTCGGTGATGTGGTCAAAATCTATTTTGTACAGGTTTGAATTTTAAATACTCGTGCTATTCGAAATCTGTGGTTTGTAACTTGAGCAACTCGGATTTGGTTTATTTCATTTTTTTTTCTGTTTTCCCTCCATTAGTTTAAATTCTTTTTTTTCCCGAAATTTTGAGTTAACGGGCTACTTGATGAAACAATTATTATAATCGTCATTAGTACCAAGCAAATGAATAAATTATACATGGGTTGAGTAATATCAAGTTTTTATTGAGTTTTAAAAAAAATCTTGATCAAACTCCTCAAATTATACATAATATATTCGTTTCTTAGTAAACTTTTATAGTCTTGACAAATGAAAAATTAAAATTGAAAATTATTATATCCATGCGTTGCTGATTAGATTATCCGTGCGTTGCTGATTAAAAGTCGCTAGTCTTCAACCATTTCCCAAATACTCAGCTCTAAATCAAGTAAATCCGGAAGATCGGCTTCGCCTCTGTTTCGAATTTTGGATATTGTTTAGTATTTCCCTCTATTGCCAAATTCGTATATTGCTCACTTTGCATATGAATCTTAATGTCAAAGAAAAATCGAAAATGTTTACTTTCGTTTTATATGATTTTCTTTTGCAAAAAGAATTATGGTAGGATTTTCTGTTTTGCTTCCTCAGTAACCGTCTAAAATATTTTAATCCTTTTAATAATAAACTAAGATAGATACATAACATGGTTCGTCAATTTTTCGGGACCAGTTTTGCAAGGGGGTTTGAAGATAAGCTGCGTAGTCGCTCTAATTCGTCAGTTTATTCAGCCTAAAAGTTTGAAGCATGTATATGACAGTAAATGTTTGAAACATATATGACTAATAGTATACCCTCTGTATTTCGGTAACAAATGTCGCTAAGTGTCGAAACCATGGTGATGTGAGTGCTGATGTGGCGCAATAGGCAATGTATGTGTCCCTAAAGCCAGTGGTCAATATAAAGATTCGATTCTTGTAGTCTCTGAAGTTTCTGCAAGACTTTCTGCTACTCGGACTTTTTGAAAAGAACACCTCGGATGCGATACGCTTACATTTGTCCTAAAATTATGCTATGCCATGATATCGTCGAGACGAATTATTGAACTCATATATTGCATTGCCAGCTGTAGTCGCATTTCAGTTTTTTTCAGATTATCGAATCAATATTCTTATATTCTTATATAGTTTAGAATTATGGCACGACCACGAAGAGAGAAAACACAGTGTATTGTCTATTTGCAACCGGTGAAAATTAAAAAGAAACGAACCTCAGGGTGTTTGGAAGTCGCAAATGTATATCATGGACGTTTTTAATATAAGCGCGACAATGTATTTCAATGACAATCAAATGGCTGTAATTGTAGTTGAATGTGGCGTTGAGCCAGGTCGCATTTTGCCGAAAAATTGGAATTTGAACTGCATCTTGACTTTTATTATAAGAAAGAAGTTGGTATAGATAGCACTTCCGTTTGTTAGTGACCAGGGCGAACGAGTTGAAGAAAATAAACCGATCAAAGTTCAATTCTACGCAGAAGGCAGTAAAGTTGAAAATTTTGAGGCTACTTTTAGCGAAACTGAAAATAAGGTAACACACAACACAGGGCTGACGTTAGACGAAATTTTAGATCCTGCGAATTGTTGGATTGATGAGCATACGAATTGTATGAATATCGAAATTGACTTGATAGAAATTTGAGTCATCAGTTATAGTAGCATGATGTAGTCTTTGCTACCAAAGCTTCATTCAAAAATATTGCCACCAAAACATCATTCGAGTATCCGAAAGAACTCAAAACAAGCCAAACGATTGCGCTGCGTATTTGAAAAGAAAGGAAATATCATTTCTCATTACTTTTTCAATTATAATATCTAATTTATCAAAGCATTAGTAATTTATTAAGTCATTAGGTAGTTTAGTTTGTTCTAAAATTGAATTATATACTATATAGATTTTGTTCAGTATTTCAAAATAAAAGCAGAATGGACGGAATTTTTTCATTAATATCGTTGGAGATCGGATATTACCAGGCAAACTACTGTGCACTGGATAGGCGCAAAATTTGGTGTCTGTAGGTCACTGGAAGACATCTTTAAACATTCTCCAAAATGTATGTGGATTCAACTTACAAAATTTCCGTGGGCTCCGCGCACAAATACCTGTAACGTATGTTTGGTTTTTGCACAATAGTTTTGTCGCGAATTCTGCTACGAGCGAATCTAGCTAGTTATTCCGCATTCCGCAAATGTAAGTGGAATCCGCAATTTTGTGGATTCTGCTTGCAATTTGCGGATTTCGCTTACAGTTGCGGATTCGATGACAGCGATATTTTACTATACACATATATTACTATTTGTTTGTGGATTTCACAATTGTGGAGGACAAATTCGCGACCAATGTGTTTTCAGCTTGTTGTGGAATCCACTTACAATGCACGAAATACACAGTTTGGCCTCTAATGAAAGACGATAATTTCAACGTGTTTATGTAATTGGGTGATAGGGTCCAACATGCCGTCACAATTGGTGTCATTGTTTGTCTACCAAACTTCAATAGTTTTTTTTCAAGCTGATAGTTCTCCGTTTCGCCAAAGCGCATTGATTTTTTTTGGTGCGTGAGTGCGCGCCAAAAAAGATCAAAATCTAGCAAAGTGACCAAAAACTGCATTTTAGGCTAATTTTTTCCCAAATCTAGCTGACGGAGGTTTCTGACTATAGAGGGCTTTTCTTTCTCAGTTTAATTTTTAAGTGTTTTATTTTCTGCGTACGGACTAAAGTGAAATAATGAAGATAACTGTTTCCGGATCAAAACAACAAACAACATTAAGAGGCCAAACTGCATTTTGTGAAATGAAAGCTGATTCCGCAACAGGCCGAAATCAGATTGGCTGCGGAATTTGCCACTTTACTTTTTTCTTTGATCTTCTTTTGCTGTTTTGGATTCCACAAACAAATAGCTAAAACTTTTTAGCGCTTAAAAAACAGGCGAATTTTTGGAATCCGCAACAGTGTTTGCGGAATCCGTAATATTTCATGGTATCCGCAAACGAATTATCAAATATGGGTATAGTAATTTTGTGCGCTGTTGCAGACTCCGCAGATGAAAGCGGCATCCACTTATAGCTGCGGAATCCACTTACAATCTGCAAAATCCGCTTACATTTGCGGATTCTGCCCAAAAAGTTCGCGGAATCCACGTACATTTTGCGGAATCCGCTAACAGTTGCAAAATCCAGAACAACTAACTATATTCGCTTGTTGCTGATTCCGTGACAAAACAAATGACAACAAATTTTGCGTTAGAAGTATTTGTAGGAGGAATTCATGGAAATTTTGTAAGTGGACGCGCCAAAAAAAATTTACGTTGCAGGTATTTGTGCGAGGAACCACGGAAATTTTGTACGTGGAATCCACTTACATTTTGGAACATGTTTAAAGACTTGTCTCCGGAATCGAGAGACCTACAAATACCAAATTGTGCGCCTATCCATTGCACAGTTTGGCCTCGTAACGAATTTTTTTTAAAACCAAGGAAATTTCGACGATTATTTAACGAGCTTTTGCATGTGCTGTTTTTTTGCACGAATATCTTATTTGCAGTCATTCAGAAGACGCGGATTAATCACTCTCTCTGAAATTTAAGTTATGGAACCAACTAATTGCAATATTAATTTGTCATCAAAATGTTAACTTGTCATCATTAAACTGTCATCATAGGCGTTTTCAAATTTTGAAGTTTTCGTAATATAAAGTATTGCCAGACCATTTTTGTAATAATGGCAAGACCATTTAAAGTCGTTAGATTTTTACTAGCTTCTAATATTAGTTTCTTAAGGAGAGCGCTGGTGAAGTATTACGTCTGGTCCTCTCAGTCGAAAGGTCGGATATTCGAGGCACACCATGATCCGTGCTCGTTGCTTGAGGGTGAGGCAACCTTAGCCAGCCCAGAAAACTAGCCAAAAATTTGCATTTAGATCTTAAGCAGGGGCACAAAAGCGGCTCTCCGTGGAACAACTTTTATGTTGGTCCTTTCCCGTGCGGATAAATCATCTGAAAAATCGTAGGATATTTCATTCTTGTATTTTTAAATTTTTGTTAGAGAAGATATATATTCGTGTAGGAGAAGATATATTCATATTTTTGCTTTAAGAAAGAACACAGAAACCCTGGTTAAATAAAAGATCGGCTAAGCAAATGTATACTGAGTTTTCAACGCTTACAAGGAGTGAAATCGCGTTGAAATGAAACTCAGCACGGTTAGCTTGGTTGAATATATAACAAGCTAACAAAAATACCACATTGAACTTTTACTTTTTTCTCGTTTTTTTCAGAACCGCTTTTAAATGGCTGAGTGTAGAGAATGCATTGATAGATGTCCGATTAATGCTGATTTTCGCTTTCCAATATTTGAAGGATACTAAAATCTTTTTTTTTTCTTCAGATTATTGAATCAACATTGAAATATACCTCGAAATTATGGCGCGTACACAAAGACTGACAATACAATTTATTGTTAAATTGTGCCCGACACTAAAATCCTTGACGTCGTTTAAAAAGTCAAAACCTGATTTGGTTTGGTATTCGCAAAATCACTCCATGGTTTTTTAAATGTCAGCGCTTTAATGTATTTCAACGATAACGAAATGGCTCTGATTGTGGTTAAATGTGACATTAAGCTTGATTACATACTGCCAGAAAATTGGAATTTGAATCGCTGCTTTACACTTATGCTTAAAAGAAATATAGGAGACACGGACGAGTAGGATCCCATATTGCAAGTCCCATACTACTTAGAAGAAAGGAAAGTTGAACATTTTGAAGGTACTTTAAGCGAAACAGAAAATAAGTAACGCTCAAAACAGGTCTGACACTGGACGAAATTTCGGGCCCTGCAAGCAATTGGCTCTATGAGCATACGAATTGTATGAATATCGAAATCGATGTGATGGAAAAATGAGAGAAATCAGGTGGTTTTGTAGCATGTTGGTAGTATTTGCAATACTACTTCGAAACATCAGTTCGAGAATCCGAAAGATATCAAACCGTGCAATACGAACGAGCTGCGTATTTGATCCGCATGGCTTTTGCGAACAAAACTGTTTCGTTCAATAATAAAGTTTTTAAACATTCGTTATGCTCGTACTTATTTGTTAACCTTCAATTAAACCTAAATATTAGTTTTAACAGATTTTAGTTATATATTGAATTTGCAACTAAATCATTCCCCAGTTTGAATTATTCTACAAATAATCGTGCTGTAATATAAAATTATGCTTAATGTTTCAAAATATAAGCATTAATTAAATGTCTTTCGTGCCTGACAATCATCGCGTTAGGAGCTCGAAAATTGATGAAATAATGAAGGGGTTTTCAAGAATTTGGAGCATTTGGTCGATTTGTTGGAGGGTTTTTGCATTAACTGTATTGATAGGAATCAGAGGCAACTTGTTCATTGCATTGCAGAATTGGTATGGAATCGGGAGCGGACTCTAGAATCAGTAGACAATATGAGTACCTGGTCACTGAGCTAGAATCCTCCGACTCCTCTATTGCGTCTACCATCCGGGAGGTGTTTGAAAGCGAGAGACCCGAAGACCACCGGGCGTTCCTGGAAACCCTGAGTCGCCGTCTCACTCACCACAATTCGAAGATAGTCAAGATGTGTAGTAATAACTACGCTTTGTTTAGTGGCTCCGTTTCACAGTTGGTGAATCTGTGCCCGGACGTGGGAAGGCTGCAGACTAAATTGAACGGAATAGCGGAACAAACAGCACATGCAATAGCTGGTTAGTGTAGAATACAAAACATTCATTTTACATATCTTGATGAACTTTACTTCGCAGTTGTTTGTTTCAATCTAAAAAAAATTTCGTAACAAAAATGAAGGTTATCTGAGTTCATTATTTCTATGGAAAAAAAAACACGAAAAACTATTTGCTCGGTATTTTTATGTTAGGTGAGATATTGAACAAGCGCTTAGTTTTAATTAGATGACTAGATGTTAGATAGTTCAAGTTCAAGCCACTGTATACAATTTTAGCAAGGATAACTGAAGTATAAATCAAAGATTTTGAAAGTATTGCATGTAACTTTTAACTAGGAGCACAATTGCGACTATCTGCTACGAGCTGTGCAGTTTGTATGTTGCTATTTGCTATCTCGGTTAAGTTATGTTAATAGTAACCGACGATACTAGACTTTTTCCCGGAAACAATTTTGTCCACAATTCGCTCGTGTCTTACTGCACAGCTGTACAGATGCAACTATACAGATGCAATTTAGCATTTGCATGTTAGGTATGGGCCTTGTATGCCTGTTATGAGTTCCTTTAAAAGTATTTTTTTGTGCCAAAAAATTTCGGTATTTTTTGGCAATTGAGTGTCGGCTTTAATTCCGTCGGCGCATTTTCCGGATGATTTTTTTTTTCAATTACTTTTGTTGGTTTTTATAAGAATGGTTGAAGTCTTACAAAGAGTTTTCGACAAATCTAAGTCTTTTTCCCAGTCTCTTCCTATTAAAAGTGAAAATTTTAAAAATGAAAAAATAAAGACTATTCGAATTTTTTTTGAAATTAAGAAATTTTTTTTTTTTTTTCGTTTTTGATTTCCTTTTGCACAGTTACTTTGGATCTTACCTTTTATGCTTCTGTTTGTTCAATCAGCTATTTTTATCATTTTTTCTGGTGTAGGTAGTTGAGTTTGTGTTTCCGCAATTTTTTTGTTCATTTTCTGTAAAGTTTTTCTAAAAAAATTGAAAATATGTTCTCATTGATTTTTAGCCCATAGTGTTTTGAAAAGTAGCTATTTTAATTGAAAAACAAGGACCGAGCAAGCCTGAATTGCCAGCAAATCAGAATTAATTAAATTCAAATTTTTTGATAGTTTAAATTAAAATTGCTAGTCGAGTTCATTTTTTGAGTTGCTGTCTGCTGAAGTAGCTATTTCAATAAGAAAGCGAAGACCGATCGAGCAAGATTGAAGTCCTATCAAATCAGAAAATTTTAATATTGAAATTTTTGATATTTCGTTCAGAATTGCTGGACGAATTTACCATTTTTTCCTTTTGTTTGCTTTGGAAAAATGTTATTCACGCTTAGTTAATTTTGATCTGTTTTCTGGCTGCATCTTTTCTAAAAATAGTTCAATGGCATATCTTTTCCTTAAATATTCGGTAATTGTTTCCTGCATGATTTTTTGGTAAACCGTCTTTTTTTTCTGTTTACTTGTTGTTCTTGTCTGATCGGATCTTGGAAATGAAAATCAGCGCTTTTTTGTCTTCATAGCTGTTCAAAATAATTTGATGTTTCGTAAAATGCCTGGTTCTAGTTCTTGTTTTTTATATTTTCTAGTTCTAGTTATTGTTTTTTTTGTTTCATTCGTCTGATGTTTATTTTTTCTTGAACTCATACAAAGTAAGTTTTAAGTTTTTGAATTGTTTCGGAATTGATTTCCGAAAAGTTATGTAAATTTTTTCATTGTGGCTAGTGTTGTGTTTTTATTTAGAATAGTTTTAACTTTTCTCAAATCACATTTGTTTTGTTTCTAATCTAATTTGTATATGCTTTGTAGCTCAGAGTTAGTGCTTTTTGGTTCTTTCATCAGTGCAGTTTACCAATGTTTCGATCGCGTGTCCTCGGAATTCTTCGATGCATTGCAGGCATGTTTAAAAAGTAAGCTGGAGGTAGGCTGATTTTTTTGCTGATGTATTTTTCAAAACTGTTTTCGCAACAATTTTGTAATCTGAGTTTTACGTTTTTTCTTGATTTACAGATTTTGCATTGCAAGTGGTGTGAAGCTCTGCTTCGCCTCTGTGTATGAATCTTTAAATATTGTTTCAGTCGTGGAAAAGAATCAAGAAGTGTTCAAGAAGTCTGTATGCTCCTGTCGAAACATAATCGAGACTCGCTCCGCAATTGAGAAGTGTCTTCCAGTTCTGCGCATGCACTCAAACATGCGCAAACTTCTAAAGACTCCCGATATGCATTATCACGCTTTAAAAATGTTAGAAGAACTTTCAACTGAAGTTTTGCCACAAATTGAAGAGTTTGAGTTCTCAAAGAAGCTCAGAGTTGATTTGACACGAAGTAGGAATACTATTAAAGCAGAGGTGAACAGATCTTTTAAAACCTATTTGGAATCCGCCTGGGCGAACGCGAAAAGAATAGGTTGTAATGCGATGAAAATTGTAGTGCATACAGCCGAACAGTACAAACAGCAGAATTTAAAAGCTTCTGGTCGAAGTCCTTCTAAAACTGAAACCATATCAGCACTTACTCATAGTAAGTACACCTGGGAATCCATAGACGAGTCATTGCGTAATGTCGATGACGTAATCAACTTCAAAGCGCTTTTCAAGTGTCAGTTGATTTTTGACACTTTGGAGAAAGATAATGCGGCGTTTAGCAGGTGGTACGAAACGCATAGAAGAGACCAATTGGCACAGTTGCTTTTGACTGGATTTGGAAAGGAGTGTAAGCGGGAGAAAATATCCGAGTTTTTCGAGCAGGTTCTCGGATTTTTTATTATTGAGTCATACTTGGTTGATTCGAATAAGAAAATTGTGAATTGGAACACGATTTGTGCAACAAGCGCAAAACATGTTGGTAAGTAGATTTTCAAAATTATAGAGTTTTTCAAATAAAATTAGTCATTTTGTGGGAGGATCCAATTATCCCGTTGCTGGTCCTTTCCGAGTTTCTTTCCAGATATATTTATTTTTTTTTGAAATGGGAAATGGTGTTGTGAATATTTTTGTCTTGTTTAATTTTTCTTTTCATTCTGGTGCAACAAAACGTTTTTCTCCGATAAAACGTTAGTTGTTTTAGGCTGGTGGGACGAAACGGTAGCCTATATTGAAGCCCAATTAGTTGACGAAGTTCCGAGTAAAATAAAAATTGTTGAGGATCTCAAGTACCTCAAAGAAATACTTCTTCTCTTCTCGCAAACTGCCGAAAGCCTCTCACTGCCTTCGCCAAAGCTAACTCACTCTGCATTCAATCTTCGTCACTCGTTTGTGAACAAATTAAACGACGCTTTCTCTCGCCGTTTTGTGACAATTCTTTGGAAGGAAGTTTATGCTCCAATTGTGGTCAATTCAAGTGCAAAATTAAAAGAGATCAGAAAGATTTTCCCGATTGATTACATTGAGGCGGCTAGGGGAAAATGCGAGGTCGGCAGGACGCTGCCGTTTTCTGAAAGCGTGCCCAAAATTTATTTTACGTTGAAAGAGTTCGTGACAGAATTGCAGAATTTTTGCTCTGGCTATCAATTCAATCCACAGGTTATTATAAATCAAACTAGGAAGTGTGAAGGACTTATGGCTTCAGGTGTGTTTTTTCCGCACGAAATTAGGTGGCTTAAGTGAAATCATTTGGGTCGAGTGGTTGTATCATGTCGAAGTAGTTTCAGTCGTGATTCAAGCGAAACATTACAGCATTTTAATCGATTTAAGAAGATAAAAAACGTTTGAAAAAATCTTAAATGAAAAATATTCACGCTTTTTTTTGTAACTGACCGGAAGTATTGTAATCACGTTTTGATTTTAGTTATGTTTTTTTTCTGATTATATTGGTTAGTTTACGAACGATTCAACGATTCTATTTTGAGGGATTTCATGTTCAACCGAGCTACAATCATGTTTTTCCGACCATTTAAAAAATGGCGGAGGAACTTTGTATTCGGGTGTGTTGTAGTTTTTTTTCTTTTTGATTTCCACGCAAAATTAGGTACCACAAATAATCATCGGAATGGGTCAAGTGAATTATCATATCAAAGCCCTTTCAGTCGAGATTCGAACAACATTAACTGACTTTTTTCTAAAAGCAATTCTGAAAGTTTGTTCAGAATCTTTATTTTTAGGTTATCGAAGAGTTTGTGATCAAATCGTTAGACAGCCTGATTGAAGTGCAGCTGCGTGAAACGATCCTCACTCTAATCGCTTCAATCGACGGAAGGGGGAAAAAGTCCAAATTTCTTCCGGCAGATAAGTCTCTAACGAGAGGTATTTATTTTCCATTCACTCTGAATTAGAACAGCCATTCGAAATATAAGTTGAAGTATAAGGTGAATTTTTTAGAACTCAACCAAGTCAATATTCAAAAGGATATTTTCTTTATAAAGGAGGAAGGCAAGCTTGAGTTCCACGTTCTGCATTTTTAAAGATTTTTTCTACTTCTCCCCACATTTGAATTTCATTGGGACAAATTAGCTATTGGGAACAGATTTGTTCTTTACACTGTTCATCTTAAGAACACGCATTAAGCGCGTTATAACATGTAAATTAACTATGAAAATAGAAAATTTGAAATAGGAGGTCGTAGAAATAAACCAGAAAAAATTGCAAGTCTTAATTCTACGTTTAACACTAGCGAGCGTAGTGTATTGGCATGATAATGTTTTTTTTTCCAAACTAACACGCAAATAAGACGGACGTGAGGCTCTAACTTGGAGATCGCTGATTCGAATCCGACACAGCATAAGTTTTACTTATTCGAGGCTTATTTCTACATTTTTTTTCATTTTATAGAACTGTTTTTTTTTGTCGTTTACTCGATGTTGTTTGCGTAGAGCAGCTTCGCCTCTGGGTACAAGTTTTGGTATAAGTGTGATTGAGGGGTCCTCTTAAAAACCAAATGAGACAGAGGGGGTCCCATGTCACACCTATTCGAAGCAAATACAGTAATTAAGTTCATCAATGGACGCCGATCGATCGTTTTCAAGACTTTTCTCAAAGTTAATCAACCTGCCTCATTGGCGCTAATTTATTTGCAAAAGGGACTGTTAGTTTTTTGGGACCCCTCCATCAAACTTGTACTCGACATTGTTTTGTTCTAAGGTACTTTGAACTTTGGCGAACTGAGCCAACTGGCTTTGAACTGTGAATGTCTGAGTGGGTCGATGCCTCATCTGGCCACTTTTATTGCCATGAGCAGGACTAGCTCTAGTGTGATGGATCCGAGGAACAGCTGCAGCAGACTGGTGCTGTTGGCCACTATGGATCCCCTGCAGGAGTTGGTCACACCTCAGAGCAGCTCGTGTAAGCTGAATGCAGCCTCTAATATAGACAGTGTGGTGTTTGACGTGCAATACCGAATGAGGGAATATATGAAGGTAATAAAAGAGCCATTATTTATTTAAACCCCCCCCCTCCCACCCACCACCTCACATATGCATCATTTTTATGGTGTCACGAGGCGTTTTACAAGGTTAAATTTGAGGACCAAATATGATGGTCTTGGCCTAATTAGTCCGCATGCCTGTTTAGTCAACAATCAGACAATGTGAAAAGATGAAGTAATTTTAAAAACTTACAGTATCATCATAATTGGTTTTTCTTTGCTGGCCATACTCTTTTGCTTCGTTTATTGGGGTTTTGCCTGTTGTACCCCCAGCAAAAATGGTCCTTTTTTTATTAGACTGTAATCGTATAATGGAGACAATCAGTTTTCGTGTTCGAAATGGTGTATGGAAACGACGTTTCATTTTATTCTTAAAAGATTTTTTCTAGATAAAGATTGACGGCATTTTGGAACTGATTGACTACAACTGGACAACTGACCAATCGAGCTCAGCCCCAAGTGATTACGTAACTGAAGTTACATCATACCTCAAAAACGTGCGGATGACGAATAAGAACACACTGAGCAACGTAGTGGCTGTAACCACTTATATGGAGGCGTGTAAACATATTGCTGAACGGTTAAAAAGCGAACTTGTGGAGCCTCCTGAAATAAGTTTCACTGCTTTGAAGTGCTTCGACATGGATCTGACATGTTTTGAGAACTTCACAGCGCAACTGCAGTTCCCAGCCAGTGACGCGGAGACGTTACGAATTGTGTTCATTGATGTTCGCCAGTTGGTCGACGTGTTGTTGAGAATGGAATTCGTGCAGTTTGTCTCGATGTCAGCTGATGCTTGTAAGTATAGGCCATCAAGCCTCGAAACTTTGACTAGTAGAGTACCAGCAGTTTATCCTCTAAAGATAAAATTGTGATAAGGGATCCCTAAAGTCCAATTTTGCTAGAAGGATTTGGTTGAATTTTATTTCAAGACTTATTCTCAAACTTAATTGAAGCCTCTTGGCATATTTAGTGTTTTTGGCTCGGCCGAATCAACGACTTGCTAAGATTCGAGTTACTTTGTTTCAAATCATGAACCGCGCTTTTTCTTGGCATCTTCATTATCATAAAACGTGTGAACCTGAAAACGTGATCGGAGTTCCATAGTACAACCTTTATTACATGGAAAGTGCCATTTGATTAATTAAAAGTAATGAACGCAGTGAAGACTCTTATATAGGTCTTGCTGATTTTCTTGTTCTTTTTTCAGGAAAAAGTCTTAAAATATTAAAATATTGATGCACTTAGGTATAACTTTTTGAGTTCAATGATCTGCTGAAAGTAACGTTAATAGCATTCTCCAAATACAAACGTGGAAATGGCGCGAAAAAACGTAAACTATTCCTAGTTTCGAAAGTGGAATTTGTTTTTAAGATTTCCCAGCTGAATAAAAACTTTACCTATTGATCCAGTTTTCTCTAGCTGGGTTCATCTTATCAAAAAAGCGCCAATCATATATTGTTCTTGAAAGGGCATCTATTTTTTTCTTTGAAATTCGAAAGTTGAGACTTTTTCAAGAAAGTCAGTGTTTTTTTTGTTTACTTGCGTTCATTACTCTTTTCCAATCTTTGATTGGCAATGTTTTTAAACAATTGTAATTCTACGAGGGAGTGGGAAATAGAAAATGAGCCGAATCAATAAATTTATAAGAAGAGCTAAAGTAATGAAAGATGGATATTAACAGGGTTGTCATGTTATTAACAAGGTGTTATTAACAGACCTATGTTTAACATGTTATTAACACATTCTTTCTAAAGTTTTGAGCTTCCCATTCGAATGCAGTCCTTTTTTTCATAATTCATCGAAAAATTACTCAACTAGGCCTAGCCTATATCCTTCAATGCTGGATTGGAGCTGTGTTTCTCATCTCTCGGACTCCGAAGTTCTCTGGGCGTCCAGAAGGCTGGAGAGCTGGCTTTTCTTTAAACAACTCGATGAGTGATTTTAAAATTCAATTTTGTTTTTAACGTGTTTTTTTTTCATATAGTTAACGTGTTAAAAACGTTTTAGTTAACAATATGACAGCCCTGGATATTGTATTAAACATTGTCGTCTGAACGCTAAAGGATAAATTAGGAGCATCTATCGAAGGCAATAAAGTTGTTGAACGATAATCCGTTCAGGGGCGGAAGTAGGGGGGACGCCTCCTCCCTCGGGGGTTCGACCCCCTGCCGACCCAAACGGTAACCCTTTATACTATTTTGAGATATCCATTTTTGGCTGACTGACCCTAAAATTTTTCTAAAGGCGCTTTGGGCGCCAAAATATTCTAATTTTAAGGGGGGGGGGGAGCGCGCGCCAAAAAACGTGATTCTTTGATCAAATTTTTCCAAAAAGTCTATGAAAACGCCTTGTCTTTTATTTTAAAAAATGGGGCACAGAAAATTGGGTCAAAATAGGGTCTTAATGGTGATTTGGGAGAGGTCAGAAAATCAATTTGGTCGACTTGAAAAAAATTTTCGATTTTCTTTTGAAAATCCGCCCTTCGAGAAAATCCTAGATCCGCCCGTGAATCCGTTCGCATTATTTCACCACTCTCTAGGCCGATTGATTAGACTAAGCGAAGTTCTTTTTTGTGACGCAAGATTTTTTTGGCGCTAGTATTTGGATGCTATTTTACTGTTGGATCAAAATTTCCGTCTGATAATTATGGTCACCTGAGACCTCGTCCGCGTGCAATAATTTTGGCATGGCGAGGAATCGAACCGGCTGCGGTTCAAATTGGTAGCTTGTTTTAGCTGTTCGAGTGAAATACAGCCGAGTGAGGCGAGAGGAGCTGCTTAGTTTGCTTGAAAAACTGTTTATTCACGAGGACAACAGAAGAAGAGCGACTGTGTTCAACAGGGGAGCAGACAGAGATCTAAAAAAGAGTCTAGAGACCGCCATAAGAGACCTTCGCCTTCAAATCTATCCTTAGTTTAACCAGATGCTCTACTAGAACTGTAATCCTTTATCCAAGTCTCAATTTGAATACGCTTCCAATCGGCATTGTAGAATCAGAAATTTTGGATTTCCGTCATTCGAAAGTTTGCTCTTTAACTTTTTTTTACTAGTAAGAATTGTCATGTTGGCCTATCAATATATTTAAAACTAAAACAAAGTATTCAAAAACAAACGCTTTCGCGCTAAAATACAAGTTTACTTTATGCAACTCAACTAAAGCAAACTAGTGATTAACAAATAACAGATGAATTTCATTGGCGAGTGTTTTAAGAGCATGGGATTTTTTCTAGTTAATTTTTCCGTGAGTAGTCTTAAAATGCTCTGGTAACTACAGAATAAATTTTCATACGTTTTTGAAAACTTGCGTTTGTATGCACTTTTTGAGTTCGTTCAAATTATTTTGCCAAAAGTTAGGTAAATTGAGCCCTCCAATTACAAAAGCAGAAATGGAGTTAAAAACGTGAACGGATTTTATTGTCTAAAGTGGATTTTAATTTTACATTTCCTAGTAGCCTAAAAATTTGAGCTATTTTTTTTCAGAGTCGATGAACGTAGTTCAGACTCTTTTTACACAAGCTAAGCTTGTGTCATGGTATGATTTTTCTTTTTTTCAACCTACGTCGCAAATTTTGTTGCAACGCAAATAGTGTTGCGACAAAATGTGTTCCTTGTGAAAGTGTTCATTTTGATCAATAACCAGCTATTAAGTCCAGCCAATGCTAAGGATAATAACACAGAGTATTCTATTACAAATAGCACTTTAGATTCAAGTTACCATGGATCTGTGTAGCGTAGAGATAGGGAAGGAGACCCGCAGCAATATACGAGGGTTAGAGGGTTAGTTGGTAAATTTAATTTTTAAATTGACTTGTACTGCTAATGCGTGATAATTGGCATGCGTCACTTAAAAATTATGTAGACTCATAATTGGCGTGCGTCACTTGGGAAATTTTGTAGACTCAAAGATTTACTCATTCAGTTTCTCCCAGTAGCGTTATTGGTCAAATTTTTGCTTATGTATGCGAAGTGCAACTTCGCCTGTGTATAGGTTGCGATGATTTGTTTTCAGGAAAAAGTCCTTAAAGTTATTACCTTTAAATATGATTTTTCGCGGTTTGACCTTTGATTTCTTGAGTTCAGTTTTTTTCATATTTCTGGAAGGAAAACAAATTGGCGCGCGTCTGCGATGAAGAAAGAACAGATGGCGTGAATTTTGCAGTCAACTTTGAGCTCTCAAAATTTTGGTTCGCTTGTAAATCAGCCAATTTTTCTTTGCAACGGGTTTTTGAGTAATGCTCCATATTCCAGTGATAATTGAGGGTCCCTGAACAGGGGTGAATTGTCGCTTCGATGTTTTTAGTTACTAACTTCATATAATGCAAAAAAAAGATGATCAATTTTAAGTGCTGAAAGTGGAACTTAACTTTTGTAATTTCTCAGAGGAATAAAACAATTACCCATTGATCCAGTTTTCTGAAATTAGGTTTATTGTCAACCATAAATTGTTCTTGGAAGTCAAAGAGCTTCAAGCTATTTTTTTCTTTCTCTATTAAACCTGTTGAGACAGCTTTTGATGGAGCAGTCCGGGCATACGATATAGTGCCCTTGGAAAATGAAGTGGACTTACTAGCGCTATCCGTGACTAAGAGAGACGATATCGAAGAACTGATACATCAAAATACTATGTATGAGCTATTGGGACTCGTTATCTTCTTTCTCAATTCAGTCTCGGTGTGGTCACATTCACCAACAGACAACTAATTTTGTAGTTGTTTTAAAATTTGGTAACTTGCATTGAAAGTTTCAGGTGTCATTTTGTTGTTAGCTGTTAATTTGATCACACCCAATTGGTTCTAGTTCAAACTGGGCTGAGTTATTATAGCATTGAGACCACTGCCACTTTTTTTGTTCCATAATCCAAGAATTGTTTTCCTTTTTCCCACAGTGCTGTCTGTGAACTGGTTTTAAGCAAATGTGACTCGTAATCTACTTTCTCAATTCAGAATCAGTATGCTCTCGTTTACCATCAGACAACTAGTTAGTACTTGTTTCGAAAACCTGTAACTAGCACTGAAAGTTTCATGTATCTTTGTAAAAGTAGATGCTAATCTGATTGCAGCCAAATGATACCAGTTCAAACTGGGCTGAGTTGTTATAGCATTGAGACCACTGCCACTATTTTTGTTCCATAATCCAAGAGTGAGTTAGCTTTTAACGTGCACCAGCAGAACTCAATTCAGGTGTTATTTTGTTGTTAGCTGTTAATTTGATCACACCCAATTGGTTCTAGTTCAAACTGGATTGAGTTCTTAAAGCTTTGAGATCACTGCCACTCTGTTTTTGTTCCATACTCCAAGAATTGTCTCACTTGACTGCTTTTTGTAGGCTGGCATTGAGCTAATGAGACTGGTTATTTTCTTTCTCAATTCAGACTCGGTGTGGTCACGTTCACCAACAAACAACTAATTTTGTATTTGTTTTAAATTTTGGTAACTAGCAGTGGAAGTTTCAGTTGTCATTAGGTGTCATTTTGCTGTTACCTGTTAATTAGACCACACCCAATTGATTCTAATTCGAACTGGATTGAGTTCTTAAAGCATTGAGATCACTGCCACTCTGTTTTTGTTCCATACTCCAAGAATTGTCTCACTTGACTGCTTTTTGTAGGCTGGTATTGAGCTAATGAGACTGGTTATCTTCTTTCTCGATTCAGACTTGGTGTGGTCACGTTCACCAACAAACAACTAATTTTGTATTTGTTTTAAATTTTGGTAACTAGCAGTGGAAGTTTCTGTTGTCATTAGGTGTCATTTTGCTGTTACCTGTTAATTTGACCACACCCAATAGATTCTAATTCGAACTGGATTGAGTTCTTAAAGCATTGAGATCACTGCCACTCTGTTTTTGTTCCATACTTCAAGACTGGTCTCACTTGACTGCTTTTTGTAGGCTGGCTTTGAGCTAATGGGACTCGTTATCTTCTTTCTCAATTCAGACTCGGTGTGGTCACGTTCACCAATAGACAACTAATTTTGTACTTGTTTTAAAATTTGGTAACTAGCAGTGAAAGTTTCAGGTGTCATTTTGTTGTTAGCTGTTAATTTGATCACACCCAATCGTTTTAATTGTTGCTAGTAATTTCATTGCACCCAAATGATGCTAATTCAAACCAGACTGAGCTGGTATAGCAGTGAGGCCACTGTCATTGTTATTGTTGCATACTTAAAGATTTGTTTCACTTTTTACCCTGCATTTTGTGAACTTGCTAGTAAGTCTCGTTATATCCTGCTTCTCAATTCAGAATCAGTATGGTCTCGTGCACCAACAGACACATAATTTTCTACTTCTTTTTAAATTTGGTGACTAGCAGTGAAAGCTTCATGTATCATTTTGTTGATAGCTGTTATTTTGATTGCACCCAAATGATTGTACTTCAAACTGGATTGAGTTGTTATAGCATTGAGTTCTCTGCCACACTGTTCTTGTTTTATACTCCAAGAATAGTCGTTTTTTTTCTGAACTGCTTTTTTCGGACTGACTTGAGCTAATGTGACTCGTTATATCCGTTATCATTTTAGAATCAGCTTGGTCGTATTCACCTACAGACAAAAAGCCTTATACATGCTTTAAAACCTTATAACTATCAGTGAAATTTTCTAATATCGTTTAAGGGTAGCTGGTAACTTGATTGCACCCAAATGATTCAAGTTCAAACTGGACTGAGTCGTTTTATAATTGAGATCTTTGCCACTCTGTTGGTTTAGTGGTTTGTAGCAGTTTTTTGGTGATGATACGCCATTTTCTTTTTTTTTCGATGGCTACGACACGTAACAAAATTTTCATTTCAATTTGAGTCTTTTTTTTCTGAGAAAAAACAGTACTGCAATATTTTTGTTACATTGAAAAAATTTAGCTATACTGTTGCAGGACTGTTTTTTATTTGGTTTTTGTTTGTTTTCTGCAACAGAACTGAAAAAATTATAACACTGGTTTAATTCTGAAACAGTGTCAATACTACTGGGAGAGCAATCCGGGAAATCGAGACGCTTGTCTGTATTTACTTAGTATGTGAAATACGGGGCATGCCTATGCTGATTTTTATCTGACAGGAAAAACACTCCCAAACCATGATTAATCAAAAAAATATATAAGGAAGCAAAAAGATCCACTATTTGGTTCAGTAATTTTCAAACCCTCTGTAACAACAATAGCCCATATGGTTTTCTTCTTGCCGTGACTTGCGCATGTTTTTGTCAAAAATATATAAGTTGAGGGAATATTTAAGCTACGAATTTAGCCGATCATATGTAGTTTATTATTTGGGTGGTAATTTCTCGATTCAAATGTGCTGTAAAATATTTATTGCCCATGATTCCGATATCTTTGTTTTTGTAATTTAGCAAAAGTTTGTATATTTAATTAAGTTTTTGAAACTTCGGAAGTTTCTACTATATTTGAATAACTTCTAGGATTCCAGGAATATTGGAGAAACAGCGTGTTGGTATATTTGTTGCATGGTCATCGAATTTATTTTCAGTTGAGATGATGGTTTGTTTTTTCTTTGAATTTTCACCACGGAAATGACGCGTTTTTATTGGATCAAAAATGGATCTGAGATTGCCGTGCATCCGCTTGATGAAACGTGCAGTCAGACTGGCCAAAAACTGGCATGCAGTTGTGCCAGCTGCGACCGAATCGGAGAGAAATCATTTGATGAATTTGATCAAAGAGGAGTTCTCTAAACACGCTCAAGACATGTCTGTAGTTGATAATGCATACATCAAATCGTTGAGTTCGTGAGTAGAATTACACTAGTTGAAATCATCATATTGGCGAGTCTTGCGTTTGGCAAAAGAAACATTACGAGGCCAAACTGTGCACTGGATAGGCGCGCAATTTTGTGTCTGTATGTTCCTGGATTCCAGAGACAAGTATTTAAATGTGAAACTTTTGTCGGAACGATCAAAGGAAAGTAAAGAACAAAAGAAGAACAAAGGGAGCGTCCTTGTTGCGGAACCCGGTTACAATGCACAAAGTGCACAGTTTGGCCTCGTATTGAAATTATCTGACCAAAAAACTCGAAAGTCGAATGTGTGACTCTTTTGAGGTACTAATTGTCAATGAATCTAAACGTTCTATTTTATCCAAAATTTCGGGAAAAGTTGTGTAAAGACAATGCTTTATTGTTCCGACTTTCGATACCAAAATAACGCAATATTTGTGCTCTGGGTGGGTTTTTTTTTCTTCAGCCAAATTTCGACTTTTTAACTAGCCATTTTTGACGGAATTTTTTTAATATCATTTGAAAGGTATTGTTGTCCTGAGCTCAAATTTGAAAAGATAGTTCACCTGTGATCATTTTTTGTAAAGTTTTGGGGGTTTAAAGATTGCCAATTTGGCCAATTAACGCGCGATATATTTCGCGCTATTAATGCGTAAGCGGAGGTTTAATCCGTCTTAGAAATCGTTCCAAATTGGTTGAAAGAAACTTATTTGCCATAATTGATTTGTTACAAGGAGCAAAATTTACACTTTTGTACTGTATATGGCGTGTGGGGTGTTAATTTCCATAAAAAATTCAATATTTAGAAAAAGCAATGTTTCATTTTATTTTATTACATTTAGTTTTTTATGTTATTACTGCTCCATAAAACCTTAAAAGGCAGTCGCAACTTTCAGGGCTTAGCCCTGATACGAGCAGTCTTATTTAATTGTCTTCTCTATTTGCGCCCATGTTTCGTTTTTTTTTATCCCGAATTATCAGATAATTGGCTTTGGCAAAAGACATTTTATGCGTCGACTCAGATAAGCGGGACGTGCTGGCTTCATGGTGTTCTCCCATACGATTCCGATTTGTATTTGTAAATGTTTATTAGTAACTTTGTAACTAGATATCGTTTTGAAGCAATTCTTTATGATCAAGTAAATTTTTCAACAGTTTAGATTATTAAAAGTGGCTCAAGTATTTTTGACGAAAAGGTGTTTAGGAGACTGGACATGATAGAACACTATAAGACACCCTTTGAGAGGCCCACACATTATGCGCAGCACTCGACAGTGTTGGACTTCCATGGACTGAAGAAGCAAAAACAGATTGCGAGTCAGGCCAAGTTGCCCAGCTCAAAACAGAACACCGCCAGTGCAGAAGACACGCAAACAACAAATTCAGATTGAAGTTTTCATTTTGTACTATTATAAAAATTTTTGTTTAAATTTAATTAGTTCGAAAAAGAATAATATGGATATTAGTAGTCGCTTATTTAATCCTACCGACAAATACTGCATATGGATGTGGCCAATCAAACCGTCAAGTTGTTTTTTTCCTACGAAAACTCAAGCTACCGATTTACGACTGCTCCAAGTTAAACAAAAGTACTGAAGAAATATTCAAAGCCATCAATGAATTTTACCGAGACTTATTTCGGGGTGTGAGTTCAAATTTTTCGGCCCGAAGTTAAAGCTCGGTGATATTTAATTCAATACAAATTAGGTGCCACATCATTGATTTTTTTCGTACTTTTTGTTTCAACTTTTTCGGGGGAAACGGGTTCATAAGATAAGCCATCATTCTATTGGTTAGTGGGAACTCCACAGTTAAATTTTAGCTTACGCACCTTAGTCCGTCTTCAATTCGTAAACATGGGAGTGCAGATTGTGGAATGCTTTCGAATGTATGGAATGTGTTGAAAAAGTATTTAATTCATGTCAGCAGTTAGTTTCACAAGCTCAGTAAAAAAAGAAAAAAAGAGGTGTTTTTGTTCGATCAAGAGGTCGAAAAAAGTGTTAGTGTTTCCTACTGTGTAAAAAATGCGTTACCCTAAAAATACAGTTCTTCGTTATTAAGAGTCATTAACGTAGTGAATACTCTTGTTTGGGTCTTGGTGATTTTTTTGGTAAAATTCTTAAAATTTGTTAACGCTCAAATTTGGTACCAATCGTGCTTCGTCTCTACGTTTAAATAAACTTAAAAAATGCTTGTGTATAAGCAGGGGCGGATCTAGGATTTTCTCAAGGGGGCCGGATTTTCAAGACATTTTCGAAAATTTTGTCGACCTTTTTTAAGGTCGATCAATTTGGTTTTCTGAGCTCTCTTATAGCACTTAAAAGACACTGTTTTGGCCAAATTTTGTGGGCCGCAAGCAAAATTTAAAAAAAAAACAGGCCATAAACGGCTTTTTTAGGCATTTTTTAGAAAATTTTCAACAAAAAAATTGCGTTTTTTTTCTTTTTTTTTGCGCGCACTCCCACCTTAAAATTAGTATATATTGGCGCGAGAGGCGCCTTTAGAAAGTTTTTAGGGTCCGTCGCCAAAAATTGATATTGAAAACAGTAAAAAGGGGGACCCTCTGGGTCGGCAAGGGGTCAAATCCTTGATGGAGAGGCATTTCACCCCCCTCACCCTCAATCCGCCCCTGTGTATAAGAGAGATTTTATAAAAATTTAACGTGGTGATATTTTAGTACCAATTGTGCTTCGTCTCTACATTGATAAAGTAAAATCGGACTTTCAAGAATCGGTTACGTTGAAAATCCGCTTTTTATTGCATAGATTTAACTCGGAAAATTTAATTTTTAGCAAGGGTACTGCAATCGGTTACTAGACTTTTTCCCATAAAAACTTTGTCCACTGGACTCATCTCTAGTGCACTTCTGGACTCATCTATAGAGGTACCTTCTGAGCGCACACCTCAGAAGGTACGTTCCCGGCACACCTCAAATTCTTAGCGTTCCCGGCACACTTAGCCTGAAGGTAACAAATTCGGCTGGTACATTGCCACATTGTAGAATTGTTTTTCTTGCAATGTGCAATTTACATTGTAATTGCTCTAAGTGTTTTGCTTTACTTCTCCCGTTTGTAATTTCTTGACTTGTATATTGTCTTTTTTTTCTATCCAAATGATTCTGGCTTCTTTTTAATCGGCTTAATGACCTAATTTAGCCTGACGTAACGACTGAAACGTAGTTTTGATGCTCACATCTGGATCGCACCTTTAGCTAAAATCTTAATAAAAGTGATAGTTGAAGTTTTCCATTACATTTTTTGGCATTTTTGTTTCTTCTTTGCCTTTTTTGCCTTAATTGGTTGTCGGCCTTATTATATTGGCTTGATGGCCTCATATTGCGTCTGTCGACCAGCAAAGTATTTTTGTTTGTGCCTCTGTGTCATTAGGTTGAGGTGGACTTGACTTCTATTTTAAGACTAATCATTTTTATTAGTCTTAAAATTTTTGAATGTATTTTCGGCTTTTTCATTTTCCTTTTTCTGTGTTAACTGGTTTTGGCCTTTAGTAAATCGGCTTAGTGGCCTCATATTGGTTCATTTGACGAGCAAATAAAGTTTAGTGTGTGTGTGTGTGTGTGCTAAGGGCGAGGTGGACTTTTTATAAGTCTCGTTGATTTTTTTTCGGCTTAAAGGGTTTCTGCTAAGGTTTTTTCGGCTTTGTTACCGCTTGGTAATTTTTCTATCGATGCTTAATTCACTTTTTTTGCCGTGTATAATTGTTGTACCAAAAGTTGTGCGAAGCTCAGCTTCGCGTCTGTGTTAAATAGTCTTGTATCAATAAAAATGTCATCAAATTGTGCAGGAAAAGAGATCCTTCGCATAACAGAACAGTCACGTGTACTTGCTATCAAACACTATCTAATTTCGCTAAAGAGAAAATGAAGTAAAAATGAATCTTGACGGAAATTTTACGAGACTAACCGCAAAGTTAATTGAAATTTTTTTTTTGCAGTCATTCAAGTGTTTTAGCTTAAAGCTAAACTTGCGTGTAACGCAACTCCGGTGCTTCAAACAGATTAGTAGACCTGAAAAATGCTTGCCACAAAATGAATGCCACCGTAACAAAAGACGGAGGAATCCAACGATTTAAATCTGATTCCAACAAATTTGAACTATAAAAATAATTTCAATTTAGAGGTTATTTAAACTAAGACTGCCGAAAACTACGGGAATTCAGATCGTAATTTTAATTCATTAACCATAAACCAAATTGGTACCACTGCAATTTCATACAAAAAATACAAAATATTTTTAAAAAATGTTTGAAACGTTTTATTTTGAAAAATCATCTTATTCATAAACGGGGTTCATAATCCAGGCTAATTAATTATAACACTCTTCTTAATTTAATTCTTAGTTTAATGAAAAATTTTGAAGGAACATAAAAATTCCAATTTTGAAAACCCTAAATTTGAGCAAGGAATTGAGTATTGGATGCAACATCTGCATCCGCTGGTAGTAACCTCATATCGCTCCACCCAAGAGTTGACAAGTTCGACAATGTTTTTTTTTGGAATGTAACACTTTTGAAATTTGATAAAAAGATAAAACACATCAGAGCTACGAAAGTAAAATACATTAAGTAGTCATATTTGGAGTACAGATAACATCCTAAGAGTACCTTGAGACCACCCTTTTGTTGAGTACCTTATTAAGTATTTCAAACTTTGTGAAGTTTTTTTTTAGATCTGAGTTTTGTTGAAAATTTGAAAACTAAGGTTATTTGATTGCTCAGATTATCTGGGTTTTGAAGTTTTCAAAAAATCTCAGGAGGCAATATTTGCAACTTCTCAGAGTACCTGAGACCGTCTCACTATAGGCTTCGGAACTTTTTAAAGGTTTTTTTTGATAAATATTGATAAAACGTCGAATCTCGGAAATCAAAAGCATTTGAGCTTCATCTATAGAGGCAAGATTTGCACCCTTGACAAAAACCTGATTATAGGGTTAGGACTTATAAATTTAGTGAAATGTTTTAAATAAAATTTTTGAAAAAAAATTCAAACGAGTCATATATCGAAAACACGTCTTTTTTTGAGGCAAGATTTGCAATGCCTGAGAGTACCTTGACAGCGTCCAACTACAGGTTTGAGAACTTCAAACTTTGCGGAATTTCTAAATCTGGGTTATATGAAAATTTTCGATAAAAAATAGCAAGAATCGTCGTATCTCGTGAACTAATAAAGATTTGGGTATTCATATTTAGAGGCCCAATTTGCAACCCTTGGGGCACACTGACAGCATCCCACTATTGGGTTGCTGATTCCAAACTTAGTGAAAGAAACACTGAATTCAATCGTATATTGCAATGCTTGAGAATTTTTTTCAGTTTTCCAGCTTGAATTCAGATATAGCGTGAACGTCAAAAAGTTCTTTCGTTAAACATGCAAAACATAATTCATTGAAAAAGTCTAAACATAGCGAGATAGTGAAGCCCGCATTTAAATATATAATAGGCTCAACAATTTAGCTGTGACTTTCTTATATAATTTCTTCTACTATTGATAGCACTTTAAAATTGAAAAAAAACCTAAAGCATTTTCAGTAACTTTTCCAACTTCATATAAAGTTCATATTTCGTCTAACCTTTAACTGGTAATGATGGTATTATGGTTGTTAAATGTGATGGTTTAATTATGTGCACCGGTTATTATGGTGAAGTTGCAAAGGTAATTGTTTTTGTTTCCATCTCTTTTTCCAACTGAATTAATCAAACTAGGTTCCGTTTAAACTTGAAGTTGTATCATTTCACAACTTTCTAAGAGACAGAATCTAGTTTGATTATTTCAGTTAGAAAAAAATGGAAACAAAGTTGTGAAATGATACAACTTCAAGTCAACCGCGTTGTTGACTTGTACTTCTGCCCCTCAACCTATCTGATTTCACAGCTAAACAGAAATGATTTCTGTGGAACTAAAGATCTAAACTATTTGATGATCTCCTTGTAGGATAATGTGTAAGCCTCCAAAAGATTCAAAATGCGGAGGAACTTTGTATTCGGGTGTTTAGTTTTTCTTTTTGTTTGCCACGCAAAGTCAGGTACCACAAACTATCATCGGACTGGGCTGAAAGATATATCCTATTCAAGCTCTTTCAGTCGTGATTCGAACGGAATTTTAAAAAAAGTTCAAAAGAAATCCCAATTTCAAGAAAAACCAGTTTGAAATTTTTGGCTTTTAATCTAATATCGACCGAATAAAGTGATGATAACTTGTTAAATTGGTAATTTAGGCTAAACCCAATTGATTTTCCCAAACGGAAACTGGGTTCGAAATGAGCTATATTTATCACTTCTCTGGCGAGATTTTTTTTCTCATTTTTTTTTGAAGACAGCTGTTGTTGATTATTCCTAATTTACTAATTTTTTACGCGTGTATAGTTTTATCAACACACCGCTTACAAAAAACGACAATAATTTGAAGAACTGCAATAAAGTGACCAAAAGGCGTTAACCAGAGGGAAAACTAAACAAGGATAGCCCGTTGCTGTGTAGGTAGCCCAGAATGTTCCGACCATATTCATAAAAACTACAAGTTAAAATTCAAATTATTCAATATGGTCGGAGTATTCTGTGCTACATGCAGAGCAACCGGCTATCCTTGTTTACTTTTCCCTCTGGTTAGCGCTTTTTGGTCAATTTATTGCAGTGCGTGAGTTTTGTGATTTTGTGAGATTTATCTAAGTTCAAATAACTTAAATTCAATAGTTAAGTAATTGTTGTTTTGTACCTGCTTTGAATTATCGTTATCTAAAATTTTTCTGTATCTTAGTCGCTGTAGTCTTTTGTCCGCTAAATTTTGTGCGTGAGGTCACTTTGTTTTTTTTTGAGAGTTAACTAAGTTCAAACAATTTAAGTTATGCTCAAAAGTAAAGTAAATGTTTTGTACCAACTGTGCCTTGAATTCTCGTTATCTAAAATTTTTCTGCATTGTCAGCGCTGTAGTCTTTTTGAACGAAAATTTTCTACGCTTCATTATGGTACAGATATTGAGGTATCTGCTTGATGTGGCGACAGTCTTTTGCATCCGACCTGTTTCGTTTTTAAATTATACAAACGTGAAGAAAAAATTCACAGCCGTGAAACTGTATGAACGAACCAACTACTTGAGAGTACAAAGAATACAAACCGCCAATTTATTCACACTGATCACACAAACAACAGATAAGTTCACTCATTTCAGGTGATTTGAATTGATCAAAATCGATACCATTGTTTTCTTTAATGATTCTTAGATAACGAACAGTCATAACTAACAGCTGCTCGAGTTATGACTTTGGGTGGTGAGTTATTGAGCGCGCTTTGTAATTCAGTCGAGCGGGCTTGCTTGATAGCCGTGGAGCTGAAACGATTCCTATGTAATTCTCTAATAGAAGCTAAAGAAGACGAATTAAAAAACGAAAATGCCCAGTCTGATTTTAAAACATTCGCAGATGTGCTGATTCAACAAGTAATCATACGTGATTTGGAATCGAGTTTCTCAGAGTTGAAAGGACAAGTTTTTGGGGAAGAGTCGGATAAAATTACGGTTCACGGCAAAGTTGTGCCAGTAAAGTTATCAGAATCCGATTCAGATGTTGTGCAAACACATCATGTTTTGTCTGAGGTTCTCAAAAATAAAGAATGCATCGAAACGTTGATTGACATAATTCACAGAAAGGGTAAATTCCAAGAAAATTTATGGATGAGCGGAGATTTCGATGACTTTGAAATCGATCTGGGAAATCTTGCGTTTTGGATTGATCCTATCGACTGTACCAAAGAATACATTAAAGCTGCTATCAAAGGTAAATACTGCTTTTACTTATTTTTTATTTGTCTTTTCATTCCTGAATTCGATTAGGAGAGCTTTCGACTGTATAAAAGTTTAGTCAAAATCCTGAAATATGAATTAACGGTTTTATTTCTATTCTGTTGCTTAAGTTCATCGACTTAGGGTTTTTCCACCCAGGGTTTTTCTTTCACATATTTTCTTTCATTGCAGAAAATGAATGATTTTCAAATTTTTCAGACTGTCGTGATTTTGACAACCGCAGAACGGTGGAGCAAGGGCTTCCATGTGTCACATGTCTAGTCGGAGCTTTCGACGTCACCTCAGGAACTCCTATTTTGGGGGTAATCGCGCAACCCTTTGTCTCTACTTCGGTTTCCATCAAACCAAGAACATCCGAAGTCTTCAATTCTGAACTTTTCTGGGGCATCTGCACACCCAAATTAAAAGCAACTAACATAAATCAGGAAATTGTGAAGGAAATTGGAATTGCTAGAAAAGCTAATGCGAGTACCGAACTCCCTGTGACAGTTTTGTCCAAATCTAGTAATGATTTTCTCCAGGCACTCAGCGGTCATTTCGACTCTATAAGGACATGTGGAGCGGGCAAAAAATGTTTGACAACCCTTTTGGGTTTTTCGGATTGCTTTATAAATTCATCCGGAGGAGTTTATTTTTGGGATATGTGTGGACCCCATGCTATTTTGTTGGCACTTGGCGGAGAAATCTTTTCGTTGATGGAATTCAAAGAAAATGGTCTAGAAATGAAGCCAATCAGATACGCTGTTCCTTCGAAATTTCCTCTGGAACAAGTATCAGAGTGCTGTCTCAAAAATGGCTTCATCTATGCTCTGGAATATGAAAAAGTCCTGTCAAAATTGAAACCGTGCTTTTTATCAGAGTGAGAATAGAAGTAAGTCTTAAGTTTGCTTCGATCTATGGCGTCCAAGAAACCCCAAAGGCTTCATAATTTTGTAATTTCATAAATAGTTTAATCTAGCACTGCGACAAGAGCGTTCGGCTCTTTTTCCTTTTTCCCACCACCTCACTCAAACATGAATTTTATGGTCTAACGAGTGGTTTTACAAGGTTAATTATGAAGACCATATATGCTTGTTATGGCCTAGTTAGTCTGCATGTCAATTTTCACGAAAATCGGACAAAGTGAACAGTAACTTCAAATATAAAAGTTTGCAGGTGGGGGGGAAAAGGAAAAAGAGCCGAGCGTCCTAATTCTTTAAATTATCAATTCGTTTAGTGTTTTTGTGTTTACGATAATAATTGAAGAAAAGTGCTGAACTGAACTGGATGTTTTCAAAGTTTTGTGCTTTTCAAGGAGATTGTTTTGACAATAAAAAAATATATATATTTTTTCTAAGCGCAACAAAGAATAAAATTTTATTTTGTAACATCCACTTTCAATTTATTCCCTTTTCCAATTTAAATGATCATAATTTTAAATACTTATACAATTTTACTCCCTGTATTATGAAACATATGTATATTTGTGACCGCACACCTGAGTTGTACATTTCTTTTTTATAAAAGTTTTCAATTAATTTGTTCTTATCAAGATAAATTTTTATGTTGAATCAGATGCAAGAAGCCTTCTGTTTTATCCTGGACGGAAATTTGAAAGAAAAATGCGCCAGATGCATTAGTTGCCCGGAAGTGATTGACAGCTTGTTTCACTTAAATCACAAACAAACGCGTGTGTTGTAGTGCTAGATAACATTTTTCCGACCGATTTTGCATAAATCAATACATGGTTCTTGTAAGAGTCAACAAACGTTGTTAAGATTCTTATTTAGGTCCTAGTGATTTTTTTTTTCAGGAACGAACAGTCTTAAAGTTTTTCAGGCTCAAATTTGTCTTCTTTTTGCGGTTTGACTTTTGATTTCTGTTTAAGTTCAGTTCATTTCCTTGCTTCAAACGAAGGCAAACTCACTATCAAACAGCAAAAATGTTGAAGATTACGGAAAAAGTGAACGACTTCTGGTTTCGAAAGTGGATTTTAATTATCAGATTTATTAGCGAAAGAAGCGAAAGAAAAAATTATACATATTGATCCATTTTTCTCAAATTGGGTTAGTTTTAGGAAAAAACCACGAATTGTTCTTAAAATTGTTTGAAATTCGAAAGTTTTTTTTTTTCAAAAAACCAGTGTTTTTCTATTTCTTTGCCTTCATTGCTTTTTTCTAACTGTCAGTTGGCTATGTTTTTAATTGTCAGATTTTTCAGCGGAATAAAAATTTTACTTATTGAGTTACAGTTTGCAAATGACTGTTTTCTCAAATTGAGTTATCAGCAAAAGTCAAATTTGAGATTCTTTCAAAAAAAATAGTATTTTTTCCGTTTACTTGCGTTCATTGACTCTTTTCCAACTGTCTATTGGCTATGTTTTTCAGTTTAAACTTATTGTTGATATGAAACCTTAAGTGAGAAAAAAATGGCAAGCTTTTCGGGTCTTCGAAATGGTGACATTTTCAATAAGTGGCGAAGTGATGCTTCACAAACACAAGCAAGAAAAATGGCAATAGGAGCTCTAAAATGGAAGAAAATACAAAAGTTTTTAATTGAGATTTGAATGAAAAATGTGCCGAACAGTATTTACAGTTTATTTTAAAGCCAAATCTTTGGTCGAAAGAACTGTAAAATTTAGTTTTTTTTTTAAAATTTCATCTGGCAGAGTAATGCATATAGAAAAAACTATCTTAGTAGCATGCACAAGTTATGCAAAAGAGTTCTCAATTATATACATGCACTGCTCAAAAATTTCTTGAATTTACCATCTATTGTAACATATCACCAAAAAGTTTTGTGAATTTACCTCCTGTTTAACGACAGTTTTGCTATCAATTGTATTCCTTTTTTAACTGAATCGAACTTGTATCGAACTTTTTTCCAATTGCTCACTCATTTTAACTATTGACGAGTAAAAATTGACTAGTTTTCACCTTTCTGCTGTAAAGTTTTCAATTTTTGGCATCGTGGCTTGTGCTTAAATTTTCATCTACTTGAAATAGTTTTTTTTTCAAGGTACGAAATTAAGCATTGAGGTTTTTTTTAGTCTGGGTCTATAGGCAATTTTTATCGTTTGTTTTTTGATGTTTTTTAAGTTTTCGGTTTATGGTTCCTGATAAAGCTGTTTCTAAAGTTTCCGCATATAGTTAATTCAATGATTGTGTTAATCAATGATTGTGTTTGATGGCTGTCAAATTGCAGTGCGCGAAGCTCCTGTTTTGAAATTGGAGCATCCTAAAATGACTCTGTTCTGCAAAAATGAGCCCAAATGTTCGATGATTTTAGCCGTTAACTCTCCCTTTGAGAGAGGTACATAAAAAAGATTTCTAGGCGAAAATTGATTGTATGCTGTAGACAAAAGCACTTATATTAAAATCCATTGTTTCCCGTCAAACCAGGCTTCTGATTTTCTGATTCAAGTCACTTGAGTTGTGAAAGTGACGTGGAGTGTGAGGGAATGGAAAAGTACTTTAAGGTATCAAAGAAGTCTTTGATTGAGTAGTTCTGGGTATGAATTGGACTGATATTTATAGATCAGGGGCGGATTTAGGGGGGGGGGGGGTTCCCTCCCCTCAGGAATTCGACCCCCTGCCGACCCAAAGGGTCCCCCCTTTGGTACCTTTTAAGAAATAGATTTTTGGCCGACCGACCCTAAAGTTTTTCTAAAGGCGCCTTTATATACTACCAACATACTAATTTTGAGTGGGGAGCGCGCGCCGAAAAAACGCGATTTTTTAATCAAAATTTTCCAAAAAGTGCCGAAAAACGCCTTTTTTGGCTTGTTTTTCAAAAATTTTGTCTGCGGCGCAGAAATTTTGGCCAAAACAGGGTCTTTTTAGTGCTTTAAGAGAGCTCGAAAAATCAATTTGGTCGACAAAGTTTTCGAAAATTTTTTGAAAATCCGAACCCCCCCTCGAGAAAATCCTAGATCCGCCCTTGATATTGTTTATCTTGACAAATAAAAAAAGTACAACCACCGTTACGTATCCTTTTCAAGTATAATTTTTTAGACCCCTCGTTTTTTGGGGCCCATTACAGTGGTGTATTCTAGCTTTTTTGGCTATGGGGCGCAAAATTAGCTAAGCTTTAAATGGGCTATTATTTTGGAAATTAAGCTTGAGTTAATCAAGAGTCGAATCAAGATTTAATCTGAACATAGTTTAGAGTCTTATATAGTTCGTGATGATTTTTTTTTCAGAAAAAGTCTTGAAATTTATTCAGGCTCAATTTTTGTTGCTGTCGCTGTTTTACTTATGATTTTTCAAAAGTTCAGTTCTTTTCTTTGTTGAAGGAAAGGCAAAAGCCACCATCGAGGAGCAAAAGTGTAAAGGTCACGATAAAAGTGCTCGACCTCTAAGTTCGAAAATGGAATTTAATTTTCAGATTTCCCAGCGGATAAAAAGTCTACCTATTGATCCAGTTTTCTCAATTTGGGTTAATTTCATCAAAAGCGTTGCAATCATAAAGCGTTGCTTTTGAAATTCGAAGTGCTTTAGACAAAAAAACAAGTCAGTATTTTTTTCTGCCTAATCGAGTTCATTGACTCTTTTCAAACTGTGTGTTGGCTGTGTTTAATTTCTGCTCAGCAGATTCAATAATTGTGAGCCAATTTTTAAAATATCAGCAAGATGAAATGGGTCGTAAAACAGAAAAGAACCACCCACACCACATTTTTTGTTTAAATTCTACCGTCGAAATCAGTGCCTGCTTAATTAAAAGAAAATGAACGGAGTCGACTATGAGTTGAAAACAGGGGATGCTGTGTTTGCGAATTATGTAGATTGAGGGATTTTAAGCGCTAGGGATTAATTTTATACTTCATTTTTACGATATAATTTTCCAATCCCTATAGTCTCTTCTTTTTAAAAAAAACTACAAAAACATGATAGTAGGTGAATAAAGAGCTAGCGGCTCTTTCTTAGCCAAGCTGAAGTTGCAATTCTTATCCCGTGCAGCTATTTTTGTTATACTTGCTGCGCGGATTTGGAGTATTTTTGCAGATTTATTTGAAAGGAGCCTGCCACATTCAAAGTGTATGTTTTTATTTGCTTATTGTATCAAAGCAGAAAGACACTTGGCTCCGCTAGTGCCAAGTACATGTACATAATATATTTCCTTTTTGCTTTCACATAAATTCCGTCATTTCAGCTGATGAGATTTTTTGAATTGTTAAATTGACCGCGAATTCAAATTCAACTCCTAAAACAAGCACACAACGAGTAGAAATGGTTGCACGTAAGTTTAAATTGTCTCTTAACTATTTCCTGGTTTGAACTGTTTGTCAATTTTTGACTCTGAAGATAATCGATTTTTTCCCTTAACGCTTTTAATCGATTTTAAACTTGCTAGACCAACGTGAGAACAAGTTGGGCAAAAGGTAGGGTTTCACTTGGTAAGATTTACTTGACTTACTATTCACAAAAGTTTTCAAACAAAATTTTACTGTATAAATACAGTTCTGCTACTTACGATTTGCAAAAACTTGTCCAACTGATCTTTCTGGTCTAATAAACGCCTAAATATCTGGTGCAACATTACTAGATTTTTTAATTCGTTTTTTACAACTTGCGTTCATATATTCACAGTTAAATCGCTAATTTGTTTCCGCCTAATTTTTATCTTCGATTTATTTTTTCGTTCTAAATCACGTGATAAATACGAAATACGCCATATAAGACAAAAATAAATAGTCAGTGTTTTAAAAGCTGGCGAGAAACAACCTTACAGTGAATTGATGCTCGATTTAACATTCTATACCAAAGAAAGTGTTTGACATGAACTTTTCTTTAAATAAATTGTCAAATTTGATTTACCTTTTTTGACATTTTCGACAAACGCATGTATTCTTTTTTTCCAAGCTTACTTGCATAAATTAGTGCTCAACAAATAAATGCTTAAAATCAGTATCTGTTTTTTGTTCTCATTCTGTTTGGCAATTTCAAAGCATGTGTTGTATCCGCTTTTATGTTAGCTGGTGTTTGGAAATCAGGAAGGTGATATGACATAGTTTTCAAAGAGATGACTCCCTAACTCTAGAGATTCGATGGTTGCCGAAAATACTGAAAAATGCAATAAAACACAAATTTATGCATATTAGCTTTAAAAGAGAAAAATGCAGCGCTAAGGGGATTCGAATCTCCCTTCTCTTTCAAGCTTTCTCTTTTAAAGCTTATATACATAAGTTTGTATTTTATTGCATTTTTCAGTTTCTTTTCGTCATTTTATATTCGATAAAGTTTTGGCACTTTTTTCTCAGCAAGTGAGCTATCGATTTTCAAAAGTGAGAACAATGGAAAGACTGGTTCCTCTAATGAGTGCCTACGTAATCAGCTAGTCTCCTTTTACTTCACGTCACTTACTAGGGCAATCGAAAATTTCAGGCTCCTCTTTTCATTTTTTTTCCTTTTCTCAAAAACTAGCCTTCCAAATCTAATAAAAATGTTTCAATCGAAAGTGCGTGTTATTTGGATCTCCCCTGCATAAGTCGAAACGCCCTTACTTTTAAAACAAAAGGTTACGGCCTGAGCAAATGTCTGAAGTTTTGACAATTTTGACAAACTTTTCCACTTCTCAATAACTACTCTGACCAATCTGAGATCTAGGTTTTGAGGGAAAGAATAGGCGCCAGGAATCTTTCATGCATAAACAGCCACGCCCTTTTTTTCCGGAAATAACCTATGGCCATCAAAAATATGTGTTTGTTTTGCGAAATCTGAGGTTAAGAATTGCACCGACAGAACAGTTTTTGCAAATTTTATTCGCATAAGCGGCTACGCCCTGTAGAAATTAAGGTGTTGTCTTAGAACTTTTTTTAATCGTGACCGTTTTTCGGTAGCTAGTGGCTTTGTTTTTCGAAAAATTACCATGCGAAATCTGAGGTTGATGGCTCAATTGAAGGAATGGTTTGTGCTAATATTCTAGCCAGCGGTTTTTCATATTTGTAAAGAGTGTTGTTTTGGCCTCGGAAATTTTGTTGAGTTTTCTCGAAAAATGTTCTGCCAAATCTGAGGTTAGTGATAGTAGTAGTAGAAAAAGATTTCGTTAAAAACAGCAATATAAGAATATAAAAAATTTAAACAGCAATGTAAGAATATGAAGAATTTATAAAGGTACAAACAGATGGCAAAATTATCATGGTTTGAACAACGCAAAAGCAGCATCGGCAGCTGAAGTACCAGGTACACGTTCTCTGCAAATCTTAGTGTAACGTAGAACGCAAAAGAAGAGCTTGGCGTGGCAGCCTCTTAAATTTTGTGGGCGGGTCCATAATATTGATGTAAGACACATGATAGAAATCGTTTGCACAGTCAACTACTCTGTAAAAGTAAGACGAGTTTGTCAAAGTTTTGTGAGCGAATCGTTGCTTTAATTTCAAGACATGTGTGCTTCGAAGTTTCCTCGTTGAGTCTTTAAAACAAAAATAGTCATCGAAACAAATGCTATTTAGTCCTAGTATATTTGTGGCGAAAAGGCGGAGATCAAGTTGATAGGAAAATGGCATTGAACTTGAAAAATCTAATAGCTTTTGATAGCGTAACAGTCCATATGACCATTTAGGTCCCTGATGATTGGGCTGTTCTAATTTTCGAAATGAGCGGAGACTCGGAAACCACGCAGGGTAATTTTGAATAATTTAAACTTCACACGGAATGGCACATTTTTTGATGTACTATGTCACAGGCAATTGAAAACTCGTCTTGCTTTGAATAACTTCTCTGCGAAGTAATAATCCCACTTCAAATTATTGTTTATTTCTAACCCAAGATCGTTCACAAATTTGTTCTTTTCAACTTCACTGTTTCCGAATTTCCGACAAATAACTTCAAATGAAGGAAACAACACTTCACAGTATTAAAACTTAATTGAATGTCAAAGGCATGTTGCTCCAAAACATTTAAATTACCTTGCAGATCGCGACTCAAATTAATTCCTGTTGCTAATAATTGTGTGTGATCTGTTCAATAGTAAACAGCTAGAAGCATATCGTCAATAAACACGAGAAATAAAAGAAGCCTGAAACACTTTTTCAGGGACGCCGCTCGTAACAAGAACGCAGCTCGTTATTTAGAAATCGTTTCATTAACATTTGTCTTCTTATCTGCCAAATCGTTTGCAGTAAGTTAAAGATCGAGGAAGTGTCTTCGTTGAGTCCAACTTCCACGAGCTTCAAAAGAAGAAGCGAATGATCTACTGTGTAAAGAGCTTTGCTCAAATCTAAGTTAGCAAATCCGACCTCTTCATTGATATCTGTACTTTGACAAGTTTCATTTAAAAAGAGAAGTAGTTGTGTCCTTGTTGAGTTTCCCCAGCGAAAACCATGTTGACGTGCGTTGATTTTGTCGTTGACAACAGATTAAATGTGATCAAAGACAAGTTTGTTTAGAATATAGGAAAAGTTTGGCAGTAAAGAGATGGGACAATAGTTCTCTGCCAATGCTTTGGACTCCTTTTTGTGTACTCATGTGATGTGCGCGCACTTCCATTTATCTGGCCATTTTTTACTCAAAAAGAATAGGATTAAATAAGGAATAAACATTTAACGATACAATATAGAGTCCACTACATAAAAAGAGGAGGCACACTATCAGAGGCTGTTGTCGAGCTATTCTTCAGGCGACTGAGGCATCTTGAAAATCCGTTACCGTAAAAACCACTTCACGCGAAACATAATTTTCGCTGCTCAGAGTATCTGTTGCGCCTTTGCGATAAATCGAGTTAAAGTATTGAGCCTTCTCGTAGTCTGTTAGTGTTTTCAAACTGTTTAGAAATAAGGTAGACTGAAGTGATTTCCTAGCGTTTACTTTTTTGAGCAACGAAACAACTTCATTAGTGGTATATCCACTCGAATGTGACAGCAGAGCTATCTGATCTATTTTAACTAGACATTTTGTTTCATCTTCCAGCCTTCTAAATCGATCGATGTTCGTAGCTCGACTTCTTGCGCTTTCTAGCATGTTCAAGTGAATAATAGTAACCGAGGTGAAATAGAACGGGAAATTCTTCCTATATCTTCGCTTTTGTTTAATTGAGCAATCCAGTGGATATGAGCAAAATGGTCTTAAAAACTATCAAACATGTTTTTTGTCCATTTATCGTAACCGAGGTGAAATAGAACGGGAAATTCTTCCTATATCTTCGCTTTTGTTTAATTGAGCAATCCAGTGGATATGAGCAAAATGGTCTTAAAAACTATCAAACATGTTTTTTGTCCATTTATCGTAACCGAGGTGAAATAGAACGGGAAATTCTTCCTATATCTTCGCTTTTGTTTAATTGAGCAATCCAGTGGATATGAGCAAAATGGTCTTAAAAACTATCAAACATGTTTTTTGTCCATTTATCGTAACCGAGGTGAAATAGAACGGGAAATTCTTCCTATATCTTCGCTTTTGTTTAATTGAGCAATCCAGTGGATATGAGCAAAATGGTCTTAAAAACTATCAAACATGTTTTTTGTCCATTTATCGTAACCGAGGTGAAATAGAACGGGAAATTCTTCCTATATATTCGCTTTTGTTTAATTGAGCAATCCAGTGGATATGAGCAAAATGGTCTTAAAAACTATCAAACATGTTTTTTGTCCATTTATCGTAACCGAGGTGAAATAGAACGGGAAATTCTTCCTATATCTTCGCTTTTGTTTAATTGAGCAATCCAGTGGATATGAGCAAAATGGTCTTAAAAACTATCAAACATGTTTTTTGTCCATTTATCGTAACCGAGGTGAAATAGAACGGGAAATTCTTCCTATATATTCGCTTTTGTTTAATTGAGCAATCCAGTGGATATGAGCAAAATGGTCTTAAAAACTATCAAACATGTTTTTTGTCCATTTATCGTAACCGAGGTGAAATAGAACGGGAAATTCTTCCTATATATTCGCTTTTGTTTAATTGAGCAATCCAGTGGATATGAGCAAAATGGTCTTAAAAACTATCAAACATGTTTTTTGTCCATTTATCGTAACCGAGGTGAAATAGAACGGGAAATTCTTCCTATATATTCGCTTTTGTTTAATTGAGCAATCCAGTGGATATGAGCAAAATGGTCTTAAAAACTATCAAACATGTTTTTTGTCCATTTATCGTAACCGAGGTGAAATAGAACGGGAAATTCTTCCTATATATTCGCTTTTGTTTAATTGAGCAATCCAGTGGATATGAGCAAAATGGTCTTAAAAACTATCAAACATGTTTTTTGTCCATTTATCGTAACCGAGGTGAAATAGAACGGGA